TCAGGCATGGTGGTGTACACCTGTAGTTCCAGCTACTTGGGAGACTGAGGTGGGAGGACTGCTTAAGCCTGGGAGGTAGAGTTTCAGTGAGCCACGATGGTGCCACTGCATTCCAGTCTGGGTGACAGAGTGAGACCCTGTCTCAAAAAAAAAAAAAAAAAAAACTTAAAAAAGAATATTATTATTATAGTTAGTTCAAGGGACTCAAGTAGGATTTCTGTGAAATCAGGATAAGCTACGCTGGGCCAAGTTCAACCTGGGAATGCAAGTAGACCAACATATACATAGGTTCAGGTCAAGGTCAGATGTTGAAACATATTTTAGACAAGGGCATGGAGAAAAGTCATTCAAAAAGGAGCCTTTAAAAATGACATATCAATATTTTCTCTGTGAAAAAAACAGACTTGGCTTTTTTTGTAAAGCCTGGACCCTCTGAGCAAATACTACCTCAACACAGCTAAGATTTTCCTCCCCTAAATTAACTGGAAATCATAAACCTTAAATGATAAGCTAAATAATACAACTTTACTAAAGTACAGTCACTTCACTTTATGAGAAAATACAATGTCTGAATGTTCAGTGTGTGAATGTGGTTTATGTAGGCATGCTGCCCCAACCTCTGGATGCCCAGCTGGCTGTCTCTCTGGGAAAGGGTGGGGCCACAATGCAGCCAGCGTGGGGCTTGTCTGTCCTGCTGGAAGCTCAACTATTGTCTCTCCTTGCAACAAGAGATGAGACCAATCCCCTTTCTATCTTTATGATGGAAATTATACTAGAGAGTTTTATTTGTGACAATGTCAAAATATTTTAATCCATCCACTCATTCAACAAATGTGTAAATAGCCAAGCATGACTCTACACAAAGAGAAATATGAGATTTATATGAGAGCATTTTTGCTAAAATTTTGTCCTACCAATTTGAAACTATAAGAATATTCTATAGTTATATAGTTATGAAACTCTATTAATTTTTTACTATAAAAGTGATCAGTTGCATGCAGACGTCTCATAGATCATGGTCATAATGCTTCCACATATTTGTGACAGCCAATTTTCTCTTTTTCAATTATAGATTTAATTGTCATAACAGTTATTTATTAGTTCCATTTTATTTTATCTTTTTTGGTTGAGAAAATAACCTCTGAATTAGGAAAATAATTGTATTTAATAAAAACAGGAAGAATATTTGAGTTTTAAGTTAATACTGTTACTTAGCCACTAGGCTACGCTAAAGTATAGCCCATTTGTTTAAGAACACTTCTAACTTCATGCTACACACACATGCACAAACAAGAAAAATCAATTCAAGAGCTGGATGTGAATCATTTAACCCTTCAAAACCTAGCTGGTAATTTGTTTAACAGATTTATCTAGGGTTAGTTGTCATAATTAGTTTATGACATATTCCAAAAGAATAAATTCAAGTTTTTGCTAAATATGCCTCTTATAGTATTGCTCAGTTTGGTTTTAAAAGAATGGAATCATCATTATGCTTATTTGATTCAAATTAAATGTCTTTTCATGTACATTTAGTTAGTCCTACTTAAATAAACTATAATGAATAGTCATGGACTGATTAGTTATCAGAAACAGGAGCTTTAGATTGGATGCATTTTGCCTTCTGTTTAAAAAAAAAAAGTCATTTTAAAATGCAACATTGAGAACTAAATACTATTTCATTTATATTAGGCATTTTTTTACATTAAAATTATGTCCTATTTCCAATAAGCTGTGTTTAGACTCTTTTAAGTTTCAATGTGTAAATGAGGCTTTCCCTCATTTGTATTATTTTCCCCTTAATATTCTAGGGAGCACAATATTACATTCTCACCATCATTATTCATGTTAATATCTGTCTTTAATTATACACTGCAGGAGGCATTGAGAATTCAAGTAGGTCTAAGAAACTTAGAGTACAGTTGAGAACACACACAAAAATGTAAATAACTTTGATACAAATATTTTAGGGGCCATAGATAAGTGATAAATGAATAAAACAGTATACATGTTACAATAGTTCACACAAGAAAGATATATTTGATGCCCACATTATTAAATCAGACAATAGGTTTTTGCTACTTAAATCCCAAAAGATTTCAAAGTCTAAAGTGCTCTGGAGATAAAAATCCATTACCCTCCAATTTATTGTTTAATCCACCTAACAATTCTATCTGAAACAGGCGTTTGCTATGTTTTAAAGATAAATCAATCTTTTTAAAAACTTGACTTGTCTCTTTTAAAATTATTATCCATCTGTTAATAATTGATTATAGGAGAAATTACTGACAAAACACGATCCAGGACCAAAACAAAATGCTTTAATCTACTACTATATTCCTGTTATATTATTGCTTTGGTGTATGATGAAATACTTGGAAGAAAAAGATTATCTTTCTTTCTCTTCTTGAATGTAATTAAGTGCAGTAAAATCTATTTACCAAATGCCTCAGAAAAAAACAAATATAGCTATGCTGTAGGTGAAATGTTCTCCCATATATATTTACACATAGACGTACTATTCAAAATATTTAAAACTGTTACCACATGGGCACTGAGAAAACAGAACAGATGCTTAGGTTAAAGCACCTCTAACTGTCCCTGCCCATAGGGATCAATTATTATTATAGCAATGTTAAAAACTTTTAATTCTGGTAGATTACTTCTAATATAGCATTAAAATATTTTAATTGAACCACTATTTTGGAATATGATATTCTTAATTTTGCTACATAATATACTATCTTAGCACAACATAATCACAAGTATGGTATTTTTTAGCTCTAACATTATTTCAATTTGCATTTCACAAACTGCGGAGATACCTGAATATCTGGAAATGCCTGTATCCCTTAGCAATGTTAGATAATGATTTATATGGTTGGGCTATGACACATTTCTGGTCTAAGTCTTTCAGTGAGTTCCTGAGCCTTATGGATTAAATTGAGACTATAATATACCCTTTTCAGTCTTTTCCTTCACCTACAGTCTTGGGCAGCAGTCAACTGCAGGGCCATTCCAGGGGTACTGATTTAGTGGAAGGGATGTGATAAAAACAAACTCTACCCCAAAATCAAGTCTTGTAAGTGGTCTGGATTGTCTCACTTATTCTGGAGTATGCTGAACAAAGAAACTGCCAGGTTAGAGAAAGGATTTCTTCCCACTGGAACTAAAGGTTAAAGAACCTGCCCTACGCATATTCAGTGTTTGTTTATGGGACAAGCTGAAGGCTCCAGGAGTACTCACCATGGCACGGTACTGGTCATGGGTAAATTACGGCCACCTTGGGGTTATTACAGGTTTCTGTTTTTCTATTGTATCATTAATCAAAAGAAAAAGGGACTTAGTAAAAAAGAGTAGAGATACAACTGCAGTTCCTGGAACATACTGTGCTCTTTTATGTGCATCTCTACTAATCTCTAAGCACTTTAGAGCCCTAGTACTCTCTGACAGTTAAACTGAACTTGTCATCATCAGCTAAAAGCCCTTCCAGGACTCCTGCCTTTGCATATGCTGTCATGTAGCTGGAATGTCATTTCTCCCAGACTACCTGATAAATTTATCCTTCAAGTTTTATCTCTAAATTCAGGTGTCCTGTGAAACTTTCATTCACTATACCCAGCAAAATCAGACATTATTTCTCTTGGGTTTCCATTTCTGTCTTATAGCACTTAACATTCACTGTCATAATTATTTGCATACAAGTCTGAATCCCTGCCTAGCCAGTTCCTATAGGCCTGTAATGATATCTCATTAAAGTTTGTCCTAGTTGGAACATAGTAAGTGCTCAATACATTCCTGCTGCATAAATTACTGGTAGGCAGGTAGATGGATGCATGACCTAAATATTAAATCCCACCTACTCCAACTGCGTCATAGTAGATTTTACATCACTACATCAAAGATGCATAGTGTTGGTATCCAAATCCTGCTTCCCTTTCTAAGAGCCCACACTTTCATGTACTTTTTCCCTTTGGTGAGGTCTGTTCTGACACTGCACATGCTGCCTACAAACAAAAAAGCAATACAGTCCTTAGTTCCATCCCAGCTGTAATGTATACGTTGGGTTGCCCCCTACCCAGAGCCTAACGATGTTTCCCCAAATGGTCGTCAAAAGAATTCTCCTCATTTTTTGAATCATCAGTCTGCTCCGCCCTGATGTTAGTGATTTGGCCCTAATGCCAGCAGGCTCTGCTTGCTACAAGGATGCACTTTCTTAGACCTCTATGTTTGTGGCTAAACTCAGGTAAGCCACTTTTCTCCTTAGTAAGAAAAATGGCTCCTTTGCTTTCCTAATGGCTAACACCCCAATACTGGGATTTGGCAACAGTTAGTCCAAAGTGTTATTCTGAGAAACTCCTGGAGTTTTGGAAATTCACTTTATTTTACTCAAGAGTTCAGACTTGTTTCCTCACTAGCTGCAACAGACAAAGAACCCTGGCAGGGATGATGTCCGACTCTGATCCCTGGTGATCCCCAGGAGACAGTCTCTGAATTTCTTCTCCATGCAACAGCAGCAGTTTTCTCCAATATTCATTCAGTTCTCACTCACATGTTTGGATGAACACTCATATCCCTTGTGTCAAAACATATACAGTCTAAGCTAAACTATGGGTCATAGCTAAACTATGCTTTAGTTTTCACATATTCTATGGAAGTTTAACTATTTCTAGGGACTTCAATGGTAAGCTTGTTTCACCTATTACTGCAATTTGAAGAATGTTTCTTAGAAGGTATCAGTGTCCTCCATCAATATGACTGATAAGCAATATTAATACAATCAAGTACCAATATTATGGTAGCACACATACAGTTAACTAAAGGCCCATGTCTTGAGCTATAAAGCCATCTAAAAACACTGAATAAGATAACTTACGTATGTCACTTTTTGAGAAAACTCCATACAAAAGCCTGCCATACTGGTTCTCTCACTAAACTGACAGAAATAATACACTGAAATGAAATCCAGTAATTCGGGAAAAAATCCTCAAATATACACTTACCCACTATGCTTCATATGCGCTGGTTTATCCATTCGCACTGCCAGTTTGATCTTTAAGTCAGAGTCCTGGCTATTTTTTGGAACTATCATTTGGTGTAATTCAGCTGATTTGGAGCTATTAGAAGTTGGGTATAATATCACCTGGATGGAAAAAAGAAAATATATTTTAGTGCATGATACAGAGTGCCTATGGTTTGGAACTACAAACTTTTCTATGTTTCCTTGTTTGAAAAAATGGTGTCAACACCCAAATGAATCTAATAAACCATTTGACTTCCTACTACCATAGCTGATGGATTTTCAATACAGACTCAATTTATTTTTTGACAAATATGTGTTTTCACATTATCACATAATGAGTTTTCTTCCTCTGTCACTTCATAATGAATTAATAGCACAACAAGCTACAGTTGAACTGACATTGAAAAATACTCAAGAGACACCCGCAATTTCAAGAAAATTCTAAACTCCTCTAGGCAAAGCAGTTCAGAAAGATATTCTTTGAAATTATGGATAAAATGCTTAAAAAGCAAAACCAATTATTTGAAGCAGCACAAATATGCCTCATGTTTGAATATTTTCATTGTAAAATAGTAGTAAAGGAAATCAACTCCATTAGAGATGGAAAACAACACATTTTCTGCTCCAGATCAATACCAAAGGATTTTTCCTGACATGTTTTCAAAACTATAGTACTATAATAACTGAAACAAAGTAATTATTTTTAATAAAACTGTCAAATTACCAAATGATTATTTTACAACCCTCACTTCACAGAGTCAACCCAGGAAAGAGAAGCCTACTCTTCAGATGTTAGGTGCCATGCAGATAAAACAAGGTACTTTCCTCCCTTTAAAATCAGTTATAACATATTTTAGACACAGTTTACATCCCAGCCTTAATGAGTATTTTTAAATGGGAGCATTATAGGCTAAAAGATAAAACAAATAAATGAAGTACACTGTGTTATATTTTAAGCCATAAAGTTGAAGTTTAGATATGAATGGAAGATTTATAAACATTTCCAGGTATGCTAAATTTTTTTTTAACAAACAAAATTAGTATTTTCATTAAAACTATATTGCAACATATCTTCCTGTGCATAAATCCTGAGGCAACACAAAGTAATTGTGAATTTGAAATTTCTTTGTAATATTGTTACAATTTGACATTAATATAACAAAACAAAAGCCCAATCTCAAGTTGTTATAGTGCTTAACAATTTAATTAGGCAGCCTTCTATTCTTGGATTTTAATAGTAAAATGTTTTGAAAGCATTCATGGCAACTGACTCTGTCATGCCCTTCCCCTACCTCCAAATCTTCATTTATAGTATAAGTAGAAATCTTCACCAAGAAATCTTTAAGCAAGACTCTCCTTCTCTCTAGGAAAGACAACACAGTCATAAAATCTTCTCAAACTATTCTCAACTTGCAAGTTGTTAAATGTATCTACTATTTTGAGACTTTTCTCAAGCCTTTCCTAAAAGCCATAGCTGTGCTGAATCCAGCAACTCTATATACTCAAGTATATAAAGGACATCTTAAGTACAAACTAAATGACATTTGCAATGTTTTCACCATTATGATCATATTCTAGAATTAATTCAACTGCTGAAATAGCCAATGTAATATTTTATAGATTCTTTCTTAAATGACAGTAAAGAAAAATAAGCTGACAGTTTTTGACTCAAACCAGTAGACAAAGGAATATCATTATCAACTTAGAAGGTTATTCCAAAAAAGAATAAAAGACGAAGATAGAGCTCTATATCTTCTGTAGCTATAGCTGCTATGTTTCTAACAAGTCTGGGAAGCTTTTTCTCTTTCTCCATACACATCCCTGACCGCAACTTTAAAATACATTATTTTGGCATGAGCCACTTACAGACTTTATTGGTTTTTAATTATTCCTTCTATGTTTACATAAAAATTGGAATTGTTCCAAACTCTAAACTCTTATACAGGAAGAGAATATTTAAATTAAAACTTTTGACAATTTCTCATTTTGTAAATACTGATAATGGCTTACTAAATGAGGTCTCAAGATAACTGATTTTGGCTGATCCACAAATTAAAGGTTATCACACTATCACATACCATTCTTTTTTTTAATGAGTATTTCTAACTGAAGTTAGTGGAAGGATTTATTGCTCAGCTCTGTTCAATTAAATAAACATTGAGTTCTTACTATGTGGGGATACACAAAGATTAAATAATATGAATGACTCGCATCTCTCAAGGAGCTCAGTTCCTCTTCATTAGAACTTAATGTCTTTTATTAGCAGCATTCTTAGCTCTGATAATATCATTTCTTCCTATTGCTCTTCTTTCCCTAGAGTATGCAATGGTTTCCTGATTTTGTTAATTTCTGTGCTTTTTCACGGTCTTCTGCTTGGCTTCTCCCTGTCATATGTACAGCAAATTCCCTGTATGTTCCCTCCAATGGAAAGACCTGGAAACGTCTGTTTTTCTGGACGGACTGACTGATAAAAGTGTGAAAATTGGCAGATGTAACAAGTGGAGGTCCACAGATATGAAATCTTTTCTAAGGGAAGTGCATTGGTAAATAAATGCTGCACTTAAACTTCAAAATGGTCTGTAAAACAGTTTTCAGGCTCCCAAATTGCACAGGCAAATAGTCATAGTCCTTTATGGAATTTAACCATAAATAAAGAGACAAGGAAGAAGCTTCCAAAGTGTAGAACCCAGAGGGCCATGGAGAATAAAGGACAAGGGAGTTCAGAATACACAATACACGTCTAATCAAGAGATCTTGAACATTTCCTGAGCCGAGTGTTTTCCCAGTGCCTGCCAGATAGGATTTCATTATTGCAACTAGACAATCACTGCTGTGCAATTCCCATTTTTCCTTTTTCCATGTGGCAAACTTACCTGTAGCTTTCCTGTCCCTGTTCTGTTAACTTATACTGGATTTGTGCTGAGACAGAATGAGGAGGGAGGGTATAGTAGGCAGTTATCATAAACTGAAGTTCACAAGTTGCCAGGCTGCAAAGTGCCACAGCTAAATGTGATGCAGGTATTGGACTGGATATAAAGATGGAATAGGACTTTGGGTTGTTTCTCTTGAGTTGAGATGAATGTGTTTTAGGTGTAGGAAGAAGGGCAACAAAATGACTTGGTGGCCACAAGGGTTAACTATGGCACATCATCTGGCTATCTACCATGATTCATGTTTTCACCAGTATAGAACTATTGCTACTAAACAGTTAGTTAGCCAAGAACCAGGTTTTCTAACTCCTCCTGCTTCTAAGTAGAGACATATAAAAGTTCTTGCTAAAGGGGTGAGAGTGAGAAGTGACACCTGTCGCCTTGAGAAAAGATGATCAAGATACAGGTATGATGTCTTTACCTCACTTTATTCCTCTGCCAGCTAAGTTCAGAGAAAACCAATACCCTAGGAAATGAAAGAAATCAGAGCCCTGAATCACCATGTGGAAGAAAGTCATACTTCTCTCAGGAATACCTGTGGTACACTGTTACAAACCTGATATTATTTTGAATGACTGAAATGTAACAACTTTCCTGTTACAGTATTTAGCAGTATCCTAACTAATACATTAACAGGGTGTTTTGTTCCAAAATCTTTCAAAAGTAAGTGGATAAAGAATTCTTTTTATATTAGAAGTACTTTCACTTCAGTAGGACTCGGTTCATGTATAGAGAGGTGTTTCTGATGTTGACAGTCATAATAATTAAAATATTTTACAGGCATAAAAGTTTACTAAGGATCCTTCTGTATCCTAAGTTCACATTTAAAGTGTAGCTCTGTACAAATAGTTAAATTTAATACTGTTTAGAAAACTATTTTATTCTTTACCATTCATGTCTCTTTAACCTTTCAATATATATTTCTTCTTCTAGTTTATTTTTGTCACCAACACTTTAAATGTCTTGTCTTCATGACACAAAAAAATATGATTTTTCATCTTAAACGTAAAGCCAATGTATCTTCTTCATAATAACATGTCAGTGTTACTTGTCATCTTTGCTAAGGTGTAATGGAAAACACAAAATGATCTTTTAGGATTTGTTTAAAATTCCATCAAATTTAATATACAGAAAGAAAACTAAGGCTTAAAAGAATGAAATATAAAGTACATATTTACATACAGATATGTTTAGAATGATGTGGGGTTCAGAAGTAGCTTTCTCTTAAAATATATTTATATAAGCTGTCACTTCTACATTCTTTTCTACTGATAAACTTGAGGCCAAACTATGTGCACTTACGTGTAATTCAACTTTGTAACCTGTGAATTCAAGACTATTTAAATTGCTAAACTCTATTGCAACAAGCATCTGAAAAACTAAAATCAAAAAGAAAACAGCACTGGGGGATAGGGGAGACAAGCTAGAAAAACAAAGGGGCTAGACAGACAATTCACTATCTTCTCCCATAAAAGTCTCTCAGCTTAGAGCAAGGAAAGACGACTCTAGTGGGACCACAATAATTGCACCATATCTTATGGCAAAATAACAGACACACAGTTGATACAATTCTAGCTCAAAAATGAGTGCATGCAGCAAGTCCTGAAAAAATCAGGACAGCTTTCATAGAGGGATTAGGGTTTCATTTGGAAGTCTAAAAGAATACATAAGATTTATAAGGCTGACAAGGGGATGAAAAATAAAGATATGGAGGCTGTTGAAACCAAACAGTTTAAGAGTGGCACCCTAGAAAAAGGCACATAATTCTGATGCTGACACTCCTAACATTACTCTAGGTTCTCAAGCTCTTCCCCAATCTTGGTTGTTCAGCTCTTTCTTCGTTCCCTGGACTCAGCCTCAGTCAGCTTCCATTGCTCACCACCAAAAGAACTTCAATCAGTACAAACACTCATTACATTTTCTGCCATGTCAATTTACTTTACGTTCTCAAAAGATAAGAAGAGAAGAGAACCCTCTGGGCACTACTTTTCAAGAGTTAGAAAAAGGAACAAGACTCTATAACTGAGACCAGTGGCCAAGGAGGTAGAGGAAAACTGAAGGTTGTGATGTGCCAGATTTAAGGGGGACAGTGTTTTAGGAATTAGGAAGGGGGCATCAGTGTCACAAGGAGATTAAGAGGTCACACACTGTTGGGTCTGAAAGGCTACTGCTTGGTTAAAAAACAGAGAG